GGTGTTCATTTCTAATCGTACAGCTAGTGGCTGGAAAAAGCATCGTGGTGAGGTGAGGTGGTTTGTTTGAGCGTTCCGTGAAATGTTTCCGATTAATCATATACTTTCTTCCCTTTCTATAGAAAATATAGTTTCCTCTTCTCCCCCCCTCCCCTTCATTTCCTTTCCCCTCTCCTGTTCTTATTTTGTTGTTCAACATCCGTTCCAATTTCCATCGATGCGCGTTTTATAAATGGTGCCGCTATTTTGAAGAAGTACACCTGTTGTCGCCCTTGTACTGCTGGTTCGTCCGTTCTATCTTCGCAGTTTACAACAAAACGAAAAATGAGCCCGGGATGGGTCCATGACTGCGATATGTGGAGCGCACGTTTATCGAATGATTCTTTCGAACAGATTGCTTGAAAACGCCATCTGCGCAAGGCCAGTGAGCATGACGTACCGCTTGATCGTGCGTTGTCTCTGCGCATTACTGGATTCCTAGATAAACCCCGTGTTGCTCTTCGTCAGTCGTTGGACGCACAGAATCCGGTGCCCGGCCTTCAACACCACTGGAACGTAAGTTAGCGTTCAAAGTGTCCCGCAAAAAAAACAAAACAAATCAAGCTGCTTTTTCTTTTCTTATTATTCGAAAAGGTAAAGTACGCATCCCCGTACGCTCAACCTCCGCCAAAATGTAGCGCCAGCGGCCCGAACCACATGCCATATTTTCAAAACTAACCGTTAATCCAACAACAAAAAAAAAGTTATAAGTTATTATCTGAAATTTTCAATAGGAAAATGGCGGCAACGGAGCTTTCGAATCATGGAGCACATGGAGAATTGCAATCACCCAAGTTACCGAAAACGAGCAAAAACGGGCCTCAGATTGTTTCAGAAAATCAGACAACTTTTGAATGAACGGTTAGCTCTGAAATGTAGCGCTACATTTGGGCGGAGAATGGGCGTTCGGTTACACGTATTTTTTATTAAAAAGTGGCGAGTGATTTGCAGAAACTTTCAATGAGAAAATGGGCCACGTTGTTGGTAGTTTGCGCCATTTCAGCCTGATGTATTCGTGGTCTCTGCAGGCCACCACTCTACCATTGATGATTTCAGAAAATTGCTTATAAAATTTGAATAAGACAACGGTCCGTTCGGATATTTTGGCATCTGTTTCGGACCGCTAGTGCTACAGTTTAGAAAAAACTGAACGTGGTACAAAACGTAATTGATTTTCGTGACAAAAAAAACAAACGTACTGTGAATATTTTTTAAAGACAAGCTGTATGCAAACAGGGTGTGTCGTTTTCTCTCTGCGCCGATAGACGCAGAGAGCAAAGCGAAGATGGCGTCACAAGTTACATTAATCGCCAAGTCGGTCGGTCGTCTGCGAACACGTACATCCGTCGTTAACTTTGGTAAGCCTGTTGGCCTTATTTTTTACAGGAATTGCTACTTGAAATTCCACGGCCTCAGCTATACGCGTCTCACCCGGCAGCCATACAACAATTTGGAGCGTTCGTGTGCAAATTGTCCGCGCCGCAAAACAAAGTTAAGCGCAACCATAACATGGGTAAGTATACTGCATGGTTACCCTTATTTATGCATAAATACTACTATTACCACCACCACTACAACAACTACTACTAAGAATAATAATAAATTTGTTATTATTCATTTTTATGAGGCGTCTAAGAAAAAAAAGGTTGCGGTGTGCGGCTTGACTAGTCTTCGAATTCCAGCAGTGGTAAGGTGCAAGTCTGCCAGAAATGTAGAATGTACGACATTCACATAAATAAAGAGCGATCTAAAGAAGTGTCCCTCTTTTAGATCGTTCTTTAGTTCACTCCTCTGCTCAATGTGAAACCAAATGAATGTGCTCAAAATAACTAAATCGCTATGGCCCTTTTGTTACAAAAAGGAGCGGCAACAATGTATCAAGCACGAAATTGTAAGCGCAAATTTCCAGAGGACGGACTCTGAAAGTCGCCGTTATTAACGAAAATATAGTTTAACAAACGTGGGACAGTAAAGTCAAGCACTTGGAAACCATATTTGATCGCTAAGTGATCATCTTTCAATTTTAATTGCGTGACGAACGCTTATAGGTCGGTAAATGTCTCTTTAACAACGCTACGTTTTCCAGAAAGCACGTACCCTTTATTTCTTCCCTTTTGAAACCAGTTATTCGTCCATATTCGTAAAGTTTTTTATACATCAACTACCCGAAAGCATTTTTTTTCTTTTGAAATAATCGCTGTTTTCTGCTTATTCCGCGCACTCAACATGTGTGTTTTTCTTGAAACGTTTCTTGCACTTTCGACTACTCATTTTATTTTGTTATTGTGGCGAGGGTGCTACACAGTCAAGTCTGAACGAGCACACTTCTTTCCATGAAGCAGCGTGAATATGGAGACTGCGCACGCGCGGTTGCATTACCAATCCAGAAATTGATCACTGCGTGTGCACATACGCGAAATTACGTGGTCTGCAAATGTTGGTTATCTACCTGGCACGATTTTAGTTCTAGTAATTTTACACATTTTAACTGTTACTTCGAAGAAATTAATGGGTTTTAACAGTGCCACGTGCCTAGACTAATCGGCGTAGCCAAGCAGGTGCTTTGTTCCAGCACAGGTGGCCGGGGCTCAATCTCTGCCATCGCCTGTTGTTTCATCCTTCCCTAAGCTAATGGGAGATTCTAGAATGTTATATAATCATGTAGTTCGGTCATACCCACAATGTATAGTTCCAGAATCATAGAGGTCGAATGTTTTAGGCTTCCAGGAAAGCAGCTGTGGCGCGCAAGGCAGAGTCAGTCTGCCCCCAACGCTTGATCCCGCTACTACGCCGCCATCGACGCCTGCGACGCTCCTTTTATTTGTTTTGTTTGGCGCAGGTTCACCAGATTAAACTTTTGTATCTGTCTGTCCACCCATCGCCTTATCAATTGTCATTCATTATATTTGTTCTGTTGGAGGTGCTGAGTATCGCATTCTATGCCCATGATACGCACCCCCCCCCCCCCCCTCCCTCTGAAGACACGCTGGCCAAGTGAGATGCTCAGCCCCGAATGAGTATCCTTCACAGAAGACGCCGAAGCTCGAGCAAGCTGCCGCACCAAAGGTCAACCCCGCTATTCGGTCTCCTGCTGCAGACGCCAAAGAAGAAAACTGCGACGATGACTACCCCACCCATCGTCATCCTGCCTGTCACTCTCCGCACTCCGAGGAGCTTACACAAGGAAGCCCACTAGAATACAGAGGACTGGCTGCAGCATTAACAACGTGTGGCCCGCCACAACAAATGGACGATTGAGTATCGTCCCCGAAACCACTTCTTCTCGCTTGAAGCCAGTGCGAGGCAATGATTGGAGAACCAAGAAGCTCAATTTACTTCATGGGAGTCCTGCGCCGCCGAATGAACGACGGCGTTCATCAACCATCACCGTCGGCAGCAAGCGGAGGACTTCCTTCAAGCATGGATTCAAAGCCCCAACAAAAGCGTAGCCAGCCTATTTGAAACTGTCCTGCGACTAAGTTTCCGAGCCGATCAGGACGTCGCCGATGAGAAGAAACTTCGCCTCCATGCGTGGCATGAAAAGTGAAATTTTCGGAGGCTTAGTCCGCAATCTACCGACGGCCGTTGACGGTTTTGTGACCGAAGCCAGCAACATTGAGCGCGCACTGTCGGCTTGAGCAAGCTATTGTCACCGACTTGCCGGCGCGCCTGTTGTTCCAGCCGCTGCATCTTCCCGACTGGGCCTGAACACCGGCGGTGTCGACAGCCTTCGGGATATCATTCGTGATATCATCCGGGAAGAGCTCCTTCAGATGCTACACGCTGCTGATCGCCCGTCCTCACCCCCACTCGCTGAGGTTGTCCGAGAGGAGGTTCACCGAGCCTTTCAGCCTGATGCCCTTTCCCGTCACGCGTCACCGTAATAGCAAGGGAGGAGCCCGCTCTAAGCTACGCCGCAATGGTCCTACGGCCACCACCAGCCCCACATCAGTACATGGCGAACCCCCGATGTGAACGTCCAGCGCCTGAGTACCCTTACACCAGAAAGATCGGGTACATGTCCGCCTAGAACAAGTTGCGTCAATGAAGACCGACGTGCGGCGAAAAGCCGACCGGCGGCCGCTCTGCTACCACTGCGGGGAAGCCAATCCCACCAAACGCCCTTGCCCCTATCGGCAAATAGGGCTGCGCGGCTTCCACCCGAACGAAACACGCCCATGCTACGGTGAGCGGCCGTGGGAGATAGAAGTGTACATTCAACGACCTCAAACTCCCCCGCCTTCACCTCGCCGCGGATCCCGGTCGCCGCCTCCACGACGTCCAGCTTTGTCGTTGCAGCGACCGCACCGTGAGAGCTTGTCACCTATAATTGTCTCGCTAGGAAAACTAAGCTTGGCAAACGGTGGAGGTGTAGTTGCCGTAGACCGACGACATAAAGAGCCCCCAAGAACGCCGAAGAGCTCCCACTCGACCGACGCCATGCATCGTACACTCTTAAAAAAAAGTTAGTAAGAAGTTAGTAACTACAGCAGTTACTACCTCCCTCTGACCGTTACTAACTATTTAACACCTCAGAATCTGGGGGGTAGTAAATGCCGTCGTTACTAGCCAGAGTGGCAAAGCTGGTGTACTTTACTAGCTGAAATTATCTCGACACCGCTCGCACCCAACCAGAATAAGCCTTTGGACAAGTTAATTATTAAGCTTTATATTGAATGTTATTTTTATAGCTGAACGAAATGTATCTAAAAATGTGATTTGGTTCTTAAATTTATGTCGTTGTCAATACCTGTTTAATGGGCTAGGAGGACACGAAGTGACGGCTTCTGTACCACAGTGACCACACGGTTATTTAGCTAAAATGTGGTAATATAAGTAATATTACATAATCACTATAAAGTGCAGACAGCTCTCAATGAAGATAAACACTTTTATTTAAACCTGTTCAATGACGCGTAGATGTCATGCATACTGAGTCATCACTAGTGAGTGCTGTCGATTCACTCAGCAATCATTATTTCAGGCCTTAGCACCAGCTCGGATTCAAAATAGAGGTCAATAACCTGGGGTGATGCGAGGTTCATGGGTCTTACAAGTTTCTGCTCTTCTGTCTTGCAGACAACGTATGACCAACGGTGTCGGTTAAACGTCACAGTCCTTAACACATTTACAAGTAAAAACAGGCTACCGCAATATACATACAGCCTTGCAATTTGTCCAAAACTGGGGAACTGAAGTTTCTCTAGGATGACAACGTCCATTTCTTTGTATGTTGAGTGTTCCACAGAGGCAGAAGCAACTTCCCACACAGGCACACCAACTGAAAAGACTCCATGCACACATGGGGCAAAGTCTTCTTGCTTTGCAGGCCTAGACTTTGTTGTCTGAATACCACCGTCCAACTCAAAGTTGGAGAGCTGAAAGCTCTGTAGCAACTGGTGTCGTTCTGCAATTGACTTGCATATGTTCTTGAAGTTCTGATTGCGTGAAGCTATCGTCTTAACATACTGGTGCTTGTCTTCGTAGCGCATGCACCAATATTGCTTCAATGGACCAAGTTCGTTAATTAGCGTTGGATAATGCACCAAAAAATGGAGCTTTGGGATCATTTTACCTGGGTAAAGAGTGGCAAAGGCACTCAAGAAATACCGAATTTCATCTTGCAGACACGCAAGGTGGTCACGTGGAATCTCGTCAGCAAACGCCATGTCTACAACCCTCCTCAGCAGCAGGTACACTTCCCAGTGCTCATTCTTCACTGGAATAATGTCTCCGAACATGAGCGAAAAAAACCTGAAGAGACACCACTTCTGAGACGCAGTATTCTTGTAGGCACTTTGCCCATTTAGAAAGCTTTTGCCCATTGCCACAGGCTTGTTCTTTTTATCCTGTGTACCGAAACTGAATATTGTGATGCTATCGAGATCTGAGTACTTGATCACGTTACTGCTGATGAGGCCGCGCAACACCTCTGTGAGCACGTAAGGTATGGATCCTTCAAGTAAGTCATGCATCAGGTCGGACGGAACCTGTAGTGTCACGTCAAAGTACCCCATACCTAAAAGTGGAGACTCACTTTTTACCCCATAAAGTGCTGTACTTAGAGGCTGATTCACCTTTGCACTTTCGACGTGGCTTCTGTGCAAAGTCTTATTTCGGACTTGCACGTCAATTTCATGGAAAATAGTGCTAAGCTTTGAATACGGTACAGTACAAAATCGACAGGGATGTCCTCTGTTGAAACAACAGGTGAATCCGCCCAGCCTATTCATAGAAAGGTTATCGCCACAGAAAGCAACAAGAATTCCTATGACTTTTAGAGTAGCTGCACCCTTCTGCACAGTGAAACCAGTTGTACTCAAAGTTGACACGTCAGCAACAAGCGGTTTCAAAATTGCATCGATTCCATGCTTGTCAACAAGCTTGTATAGCACAACAAGTGCTACATGGATGGCTCGAAGCTGCGACCTCTATCGGGCGTGGATGTTTATCACACTGAAGTACACAACAAGGATTTTGTGAACTCCACGTTTCGACCCTAAAGGGTTAACAATCTCTACCTCATCACTATACAGCACAAGAAACAAAGTGTACTGTAACCCATTCTGCAAAAGTGCAGTCAGTGTTTCCTTGTACACTAAGCCATCACGAAAGGTTCGGAGAATTGGTGATGACTGCCCAGCTGTCAAGTCGTGGTCAAGGTGGTTGCAGAAGCTCTCAGACAGCATTAGGTTCCGCAATACACCAGTTATGGGCACGTACTGGAATGTGTCACCGACATCAAGCACATGTTCCTCGGGCTTTACGTACGGAAGGTGTTGCTTGGCGAACTGGTCTCTCTGGTACTTGCTCCCTGCAGCTTGAAAAATCTCATCCAGGAAGTCACAAGCAAGCAAGACGCGCAACTCGTTTCCTGCCGACTCAAGGGTGATGTTTTGTTGAATCTGGGCTGCGAACGCGCGAATCACGTCAAGAAAGGTCACCTTGAAGTCGTTGAAGATGTTCTCCGTTGTAGAGTGCGGCAACTTGTGCACCCCAGCTACACGAAAAAAAAGCAAACACAACTGTTTCTTCATTTTCAGGGTGAGGTCATGCACCGTACTAGCAACATGAACGCCAGGAATACAAGTCGCATCGTGTTCGTCGCCGGTACCGTTCAGACGGGGGCCCGAAGAAAACGATTCAGTGTCGTTCCAAGCACTGTCTTGCATCGCAGTGGCGCACGCCGTGACGCCCGCTGGTAGTTCCTCAAGGTCATCTTGTTCGATGTCGTGTGTCTCCTCAGGCATACCGAGATCCATATAGCTCCTGTGTGCTCGATAAATATGCCTCCGGTACGATTCGAACTCCTTATACGTCCTTGCACACCCCTCTACACCGCACATAATTGAGAAATTACTATCGTGGCGATGGTCCCTGAGGTGCCAAACGACCTTGCAAAACTTCGTGGACGAAAACGAACAGCGTGGGCACGTATTCACTATGTTTACTCACGCTACTTGCGGCAACCAGCTCCCGCCAAGACCATACATGCCAGACAATGAACTCAGCGTCGCCGTCGCAGCAACGTGGGGCGGGCTACGCTCTAGGGCGGGCAACGCAGCAGCCAACGTTGGCAGCAGCCTACATCTGTAGGCGAACAATAACAGTGTTGCCTTTGTGCTTATAGTACGATAGCTACAACTGGTCTAGCGACAAAAACCACTAAAAGTTGTTGAATCGCATCGAAATATAGTTCTCCTCCTGCTACTATTTTCAAGAAATTATGCAGTGCTCTTTTATTTTCTTGCAGAAAGCTGTAACAAAAATGCTCAGAACGCATTTTTAAATAGGGTGCGCACACTATCTTCTTTAAAAACGGAACCTCGCAGTTTTACCTTTACCCTTTGCTCTTTTTTTATCTTTGTCCAATTTCAAAAGTTCCTCAAGGTGGTTACTCCACCTGCCCGGTGATAGCTCCAAGGATGTAGAGGCTGTTAACGAATTGTGTAGTCTTTTATCTTTATTAAAAAAGGACGACCAACCAATCTCTAAATCAGGGGCCCAACGTTTCGAAACCGTTTCGGCTTCTTCTTCAGGGGCGATCATGGAGGAAAGGAGCCGCGATCTTCTTTTTCCTCTGTGACGGAGGCGAATGTGCACGATCCCATCTTCTTCCTCTTTGATCGTTTTTTGAAGACACATGGTGGATCCCGTTCACATACACAGATGGCAGTGCGCCAAGAGACCTATTATGTGCCAATGTGCCAATGTCAATGAATGTGCCAATGCCAATGAATGTGCCAAGAGACCTTTGCACATTCAGGCCACGCCAACAAACATTAATAGGTCTCTTGGCGCACTGCCATCTGTGTATGTGAACGGGCTCCACCATGTGTCTTCAAAAAACGATCAAAGAGGTAGAAGATGGGATCGTGCACATTCGCCTCCGTCATAGAGGAAAAAGAAGATTGCGGCTCCTTTCCTCCATAGTCGCCCCTGAAGAAGAAGCCGAACCGGTTTCGAAACGTTGGGCCCCTGATTTAGGGATTGGTTGGTCGTCCTTTTTTAATAATCATTTCTCCAACCAGACAGACTTCTGTCTGATGTTTACTTTTAAGTCTTTTATCTTTTTTTGTTTCCTTGCGGGGGAGGGGGGGGGAGTAATTCTAGGCAAGGTGGAGCAAAGTAACACCCGTTATAAAGGGTAGCGTCAGCATTTATCTATCCATCCATCCTTATTCTCTTATTCTTCAGGGCCGTGTTCGAAATTTACTTGATCCCACGCCGGAGTAAAAGTTTTGTACCCTGGCGTTCGAAAATATACTCGCGTCGAACGTTGCTATAGCTGCGCTGTCTCGTGACATGACCAGTCGGAGCTGGCCGGAGTAACTCGGATCCGCTCGCGCCGCGCGTAGCCCGTGGCGTCAGAAGGGGCCCCCCTGTCCTGCGTGCTGTGGAGCTCTCACACCGTTTGCTTTAGTTTTCTGCTGGCGGACGCGTTGGGCAGCCATGTCGTCGCCGCCAATCCAATGCTTAGTGACGTGGAAAGACCGTAAGAAGATTATTTATGTCAACGGTCAAAACAAAGCGGATGTGGTATTCGCCTTGATGGCGACAGATCTTTGCGATGCTGTGCTCTCCGGCCGGATGGAGGTGAGTTCTTTGTTCTTTTCCATATTAGCTTGAATAAACGAGTTTTTGTGTTAAACGTTCTGCGCACTGAGTACGGATAGCACGAAATTGAATGATGTTCACCATTGAGATCAAAAGTGTCGACGGCGCCGTTTTATGCTTCAAAAAGCGACTGACGGGTTTCGCTCACCCACGGTCATGAAATACGCGAATCCAGCGTGTACACGAGGCTAGGGTGCCTTCATCTGCGCGTTGCTTGGGGTGATGACATCTGGCCATTTTGTATCGAACGCTAATTTTTATTTTTTGCTCTGAAGCGCGTGAAAGAGCGTGTCCCTGCTCGCGCTCGTGGCGCTGTCTTTGCTACGGTGACATTTTGCTTCCTGAGATTTCTTTGCGTTTTCCCTGTGAGCGCGTGGTGTCGGCATCGGGTGCTACTAAGGTCCATAAAACCTACGTTTTATGGACCTTGCAGTGGGTTACAGATACGAGCCCTTGGTTAAAATAGCTAGTTATATCCCGCGTAGTATATTGTTTAAGGGGCTCTATTGCTAGTCACGTTAAATACGCGAGGTCCTAAACATCCGCATTCCTTTCAGGTCTACAATGCTCGATTTGATGCATATGTGGACACGTCAGATGACCACATTTTTTGTGACGGGGACAGAATTAGGCTTGTTGGTGATGAGAGTACCGGCGACGAAGGAAACTTGCCACTCAAACGCAGGTAAGTGGGTGAGTTGCAAGCATGGGGCCCAGTCAAATCTGGTGTGGCACCGGCTTCTGCATCTATTCTGTTTTCAGCACAAATGAGGGAGAGATGGTGAGAATGGTTCCGGGCAGCAGCCTTCCTGACGGTCAGCAGCCTGCTTCCAATAAAAGTGATTACAGTCTGCCTCCTGTACCATTGGATGTCAAGGTTGCCATCGACAATGCTGAACTGGGAAAAGTGCCCAGTCGTACGAAATCTTGGATAGTTTCCTGGATAACAAGCCATTTGCTGACAATCAACTGGTAAGTGCGCGCCTGCATTCTCATGTCTCTCGTGTAATAGGGGCTGCGTTTTTGGTATGCCCACAGCTATCCAGGAGGACTTTACAAGACGGCTGCAAAGGCCCTCGTGCAGGAGTATCCCGTGCTAAGGGACACAATCGGCACAGGCTGGGTGAGCACGAACACAGTTACAGTTACGCAGCAGGTACTGTAAGGAAACACATGTAAAGATGCCTCTTTTTGTCCTAGATTGTCTTTCTGTGCAGCGTGCACTTTAGCCATAGTAATAAACTTGGTGTTACCACACAATTTTAACAAGGAGAAAATATGTATTCACAGGACTCATGGAAAGTGTCTTTTCAATATAAGTTGGGAAATGTGAGAAAGACTCTGGACAGAGTGCCTACTGTACAAGCAGCAAGGGAGAAATTTGGCAAGCGAAAAAACGTTGAGGACAGTGCGGCTACTAAAAGACAGTGTCGTAAGGTGAGTCACAATCTCAGCATTTCAGAGCATTTGAAAATGTGTTATCTGCTTGGACCAGGCGCAGCCTTATTTGCTACAGGGCCCCAGAGACGTTTGTTTTGAAAGTAAAATTTCTAAGGGCTCAACATTGCGGGTATACAATAGGCTTATTATAAGAAACCAAGTATTAATGGAACTGAATGGCAATACTGCAGCATGCACTGGCCTCATTTTGATTGTACACTGCTGAAGGCATATTTTAATGACATTTTCTTAGAATCAGAACAAGCTATGTCATCGCCTGAAGTTTAGTGCGAAAATCAGTGCAAGCTAGTACGAGAGCTTTTTAATGTTATTGGTAGTGTTTCTTTCCTGTTAGACTGCAAATCTCCTACTAGACACAGGTGTCGAGCTCGACGCATCCGTCATAAACGGACATGTTGACTTCATGACGAGGGAGATGAAACGACGTTCTCCTGACCTA